ATGCTTAGAGGGCCTCCCTGGTGGTGCAAGGGATTAAGCTCAGCACCGTGAAGCTGTCCGCAGTCTCTGAAGCATGAGTTCGATCCCTGCCTCGGCCAGAGAGCTGACCCACATGGCACCCAGACCTTTCCTGCCTCATCCGCTGCTCCCCTCAGCAGTGTATTTCAGTTGATCTGCCTATTCTGCTCCCCACTCTGTCTCTGGTGAATCCTCTCACTGACCCACACCTCTGGCCTGTACGCCAGTTCTTGTATGCATATATAAATCTTTTTTTTTTTTTTTTTTAAAGAAACACTTAGAAATGGGAGCAGCATGGGCAGCTTTGTTCTGGGGAGATGACGGCTGGGGTGTTCTTTCCAAACATTCCACAGATCCAAAGAGATCTGGGTGCCCGAGAGCTGGCAACCTGTGCTGTCCTCTTGGGACATGAAGGACCCCCCCCACCCCAGATCCCCCAGAAGCTGAACAGCAACAGTTGTACAGAGTAGGATAGGCAGGGAGCCAGGGTGCTCCTGTGTGGCCCTGTTTGGTAGAAGGAAAAGTGAGGTGAGCATCTCTAGGGCCACTGGTGGACAGACTTGCCTAACTCTTCCCGGCACCCCCATCTCTGTTCAGTTTATTTGGGGCCAGCAAAGAGGATGCCCACACTCATTTGGCATTTCCTCTCCCTGAGAACAACCCAGGCCACATCCTTTTGATATTGTGGTAAAATAAACATATAAAATTCATTGTCTTAATTGTTTCTGGGTGTGCAGCTCTGTGGTGCTAAAAACATTTACGTTGTTGTGCAATCCCCACCATCCTTTTCCAGAACCTTTCTGTCTTGCAAAACTGAAACTCTGAATCCATAAACAATAAATCCCCATTTCCTCCTTTTTGTCACCCCCGGCATCCATCATTCTACTTTCTGTCTCTGAGAATTTGACTTCTCTAGAAATCAGGCAATATTTGTTCTGTTGTCATTGGGTTTTCCCATGAACCATAATGTATTCAAGGCTCATCCACGCACTAGCAGGTGTCAGGATGACCTTCCGTTGAAGGTTGAGTGATGCCCCCGACCCCGGCAGTCCCCGCCACGCTTGTTTATTCATCCACTCCTCGATGGATGCCTGGGTGGGTTCCGCCTTCTGCCTATTGTGGACAAATGCTGCTATTCAAACATGCATTTGAGTCCCCCTTTCAGTTCTTATGGATGTCTATCCAGAAGTGGGGCTACTGGGACAAATGGTGATGCTATGGTTAATTTCTTAAGAACCTGCCTTTCTCTTTTCCACAAGAACTGCGCCTTTCACATCCACACCACCGAGGCGCAGGACTCCAATTTCTCCACACCCCCTGACCAACACCTCTTTTCTTTTAAATTATAGCCATGGGGCCTCCCTGGTGGCACAAGGGGTTAAGTTGCAGCACTATGGAGCTATCTGCAGCTTCTGCAGTACAAGTTCGATCCCCGGACAGGGAGCTACCCACATGGCACAGCAGACCTCTCCTGTCTCGCCTGCTGCTCCCCTCAGCAGTGTATTTCAGTGTATCGCCCTGTTGTGCTCCCCACTCCGTCTCTGGTGAATCCTCTCACCCCCTGCACTTCTGGCCTATAGCCCAGCTCTTGTATGCATAAATAAATAAATCTTTAAAAAAATAAATTATCGCCATGGGTGAGGTGTTCTCATTGTGCTTTTGTCTTGCATTTTCCGAGTGATTAGTGAAGTTGAGCATCTTTTCATGTGCTTAGTGGCCAGAAGATTTTTTTCTTTGGAGAGAGCGGTCTTCAAATCTTTGCCTATTTTGTTATTGTACCTCTTAATCTCAGCCACTTCTCATAACCACATGCACTGATATGTGCTTTTATTTTTATCTTCCTGGCTTCACAGAAGGAGAAACTGAGGCTTGGAAGGACAGAGCAACCAGCCCCAGACCCCCAGCCATTGAGAGTTCTTATATCTGCCTGAATCCATGACAGGTGCTCTTCCCGAAGCTTCTCCCTGGCTTCCCAGAAGTGTATCTGCACTGTGGTATCTGCACTGTGGAATTTCCAGTTCCACCCTGGAAATCCCACCCAGAGCCAGACTTGAAGGGGAGTGCTGGGCCTCAAATAAAAACAATCATTATTTAAACAAAAACGTGTTCATTCAAATACAAATAACCTGCTCTAGAGGGCAGATTGGAGAGTGAAATTTTGGGTGACTACATGCACTTCCCAGAATCCCAGTGTCACCACCACCCCAACCCAGGGGATGCCAGGCAGGCTGGGTCCTGTCCTTTGCTGCTGCACACATTCATGTCTGAACATCCTCTCTGGCCTTGAACCTTATTTTTTTTTTAAAGATTTATTTGTTTATGCATACAAGAACTGGGGTTCAGGCCAGAGGTGCAGGGGGGTGAGAAGATTCACCAAAGACAGAGTGGGGAACAGAACAGGCAGATCTACTGAAACACACTGCTGAGGGGAGCAGCGGGCGAGACCAGAGCGGTCTGTTGCACCATGTGGGCAGCTCCCTGGCTGGGGATCAAACTCATGCTGCGGATAGCTTCCTAGGTTGCATCTTAACCCCTTGCATCACCAGGGAGGCCCTCGAACCTTATTTAATTAGGGTTCTAAATATTAGTGTTCTGAATAAGGCAAAGGCCTCCTGTGCCAAGATAGCCATGGAATGGGTACTGACGCTGAGGAAATTACCAGGGCACCGCAAGGGCCAGGATTCCTGTTTCATTGTCTGGGCAGAGTGAGCTGTGTCCAAGAACTCCAAGAAAGCAACCCAAGGAGAACTGAGAAGCCCAGAGGAGCTCAGCACCCATGGGCAAGGTGCTCCCCAAATTCACTCCTTCTTCTTGGAAGCATAGCTTGCCCGCGTTTCCCAGCACTCCTTGCAGTCAGCAGCCATGTGCCTGAGTTCTGCTGGTGGCTGGTGGACAGAAGTGATGTGTCTCTTCCTGGCTTGCCATTTTCTTGGGGAGGGGACCAGGTCCTGGAAGAGGGTGGGACCATGAGCGGGAAGAAGTCTGTGTTCCTGAGTGACCACGTGGAAGGTCACCCACAGGCCAGGAATGCCTGTTCAGACCTCATGTGGGGAAAGAAAAATGCCTATGGAGTTGAGCCACTGAAATTTTGATGTTTGTTCCAGGAAGTAGCCTGTTGGGACAAATACATCCCTCTTTTCTGTATCCACCTTTGGAAGGAGAAGGCTGAGAATAAGTTATTGAAGGCATGCATGAGTGAACAAGTAAATGAGTAAATATATTTCTTAGAGCTCTAGCCTTGGGGAATGGATGATGCCAGGTGGTGCCAGGTAGACCAGGCCTGGTGGACAAACGTCCGGACTTCTCTGTCAGCACCTGTACAGCTGCTTTCCGAGTCCCCACATCTGTCCTGGCTCTCTACCTCCTCACAGGGCACACATGAGAGCCAACTAACATGTCAATGTCAAGGGCTTCCCACTGGAAGAAAGGGGGCCATGGTGACCCCAGCCCCATCTCACAGGGACAGCAAATGCCAAAGAACAAAGCAGATACTGTTGGAGCCTCCTTGGTGACGCAGGGGTTAAAGACAATGCTATCAAGCTATCGCAAGCCACTGCAGCAGGAGTTCCATTCCCGGCTGGCCAGGGAGCTACCCACATGGCGCAGCAGACCTCTCCTGCCTCACCCGCTGCTCAGCAGTATATTTCAGCAGTGTATTTCAGTACATCTGCCTGTTCTGCTCCCCATTCTTTCTGGTGAATCCTCTCAGCACCCCCCCACCTCTGGTTTATACCCCAGTTCTTATATGCATAAATAAATAAATATTTTTTAAAAAACAAAAAAAAAACAAAGCAGACACTGCTATAGAGGGTTTATTTTGCTAGAAGGCCCGAGTAGCAAAGGCAGTACAATGGGGAGAGGGATCCCAAGTTGCTTGAGGGCCCAGTGCATGGGCAGTGGGCAGTGCTTGGGGCAGGCAGATGACCCTGGACTCCGGGGCTGGGGTTGGGGGTGGGGGGAGGCACAGGTCCTGGAAGACTCTGGCTATGTGACTAGCATGTGCACATTCCATGAGCCTTGGACATGAAACAATCCTGTAAGGTGGGTATTCTCATGCTCAGGTGAGGCCCAGAGAGGTTAGGTGGTCTCCTTGGGTCACACAGCAACAACCACCCCACTGAGCTGTACTAGGCTCCCTAGGAAAGGAGCAAGCATATGAAAAGCTTATTTGCTATACCTGAAGACTGTTGTCCCCAAGGAGGCACAAATTAAGTTCCAAATCCTGGCCCTTAACCTGATCCCAGTCACCTGAAAACAACCTCCACCAAGACTCTGTCACTTAAATGTAACCTGCACACTCATTCCCAGGGTCAAGAAAAATCTGCCTTGTTCCTCTCCCTCATGGTTCCAAGTTTCTTCCATCCATCTATCTGGCCTCTTAGGCATATGCCTAAGAGCATTTCAAGTAGAGTATACAAGTAGAGCTTATATTACCAAGTCAAGTGTAGTCATTTACACCATAAGCATGAATTTGGTATAAACTATTTGGGGAAAGAAAAAGGGAGAGTGAGGGACTCTGAAGATATCAGACCTGAGTGTTGGAGGCTGGAGGAGCAGTAAGAGCTGAGGGAAACAAGACGGTAAAGAGATCCAAAGTGTAGGTAAAACTGGGAAGAAGGATGAATCTGGGCAGATTTGGGATTTTACAATTAATCTAGCTGACTCCTCTCTGTCCACCTTGTTTCTTTATTGATGGGTGAGGGCTTTTGGGGGGTGGGTGATGGATTCATTGAGGGTGGGATTTTTTGGCTCCGTCCGCAGCCACTGTGTGAGGCTCTAGTCCCAAGCCTGGCCTTACGTCCTGTGCCCTGAGCTGGAGGCAGGGAGACAATAATAACTCAGATGTGCACAGTGGGACAGCCAGTGGGACAAAAGGACAAGCCTCATATTCCGGGAATCAGGATTGTTAAGAGAAGGCAGAGGGCCAAGGGACATCTAACAAATGAAACTCAGCTGCTGGCTGCTTAGGCTGAGCTCTGCCTTGCGGGGCTGGTGGGGTCATACTTGTGCAGGTGATGGGAGGGACATTCTGAGTATCAGGAGCAACCCAGGCAAGGGCCAGAGGTGGAAATGTATGGCAGGGAACTAGAACCCAATGCGTGAAGGGAAATGAGCTGAAGACAAGGCTGGGACCCAAATCCGGAAGGCAGGGGTGCCAGGCTCAGGAGTTCTGACCTCAGCCTAGGCAGTGGGGATTTTGAGTAGGGGAGTGACTGACCAGGATTGTGGCTTTCTGCCTGCTGAGGGGCAGGGGAGGGCTGTAGGTGTAGGAGGGGAGATGGTAGCTTAGTGTGGAGACTTGGTGGAGGGCGATAGTGGCAGGGCCGGAGACCAGGAAATGCAGAGTGTCGCTGGCCCAGGCTTGTATTGTGAAGCGACTGGAATGGCAGGCGGGAGTTCTGTGATGCTTCCTGGAGGAGCCAAGGCTGTGGTCACCGGGCAAAGCTCTCCCTCATTTGCTCAGGTGCTGGATAATCCTCTTCACCCATGATTGATTGGGGTTAGCACAGACCTTCAGGTTCCTGAAGGTCAGCAAGCTGGAAGGAGACACCAGTGGGGCAGGATTAACATGCAGCATGGACGCACACCCCTACCTGGGAGTGGAGGGTGCATGCGTTGCCTATGGGAGCCAGACATGTCTGCTATACAGAGTGGCTTAGCATTTATGAGCCACCAGCTGTATACAGGCTTACGTGCTATGTAAAGCTGTTCAAAATACATGAGCCACTGCTATATGCACACACATTTCTCACAGCAGGGAGGGGAACATGACCAACAAAGACGCGCTGGACCCTCAGCCTCTCAGGCCCCGCCTTGGGTACCAAAGCACCCAAAGAATAGAATGCCCAAGTCTTGCGATCTTGGCTGGCTAATGAACTTACTAATGAGTGAGTGCTCATTAGCACTGGTTCCCAAGTGCTTTAATTTCCAGTAACTCACCCATCTTCATCAAAATCTTATGAGATTGGACTGTGATTATCACCCCATTTTAGTGGAAGAACCAGCTGATCTGAGTTAAAATCTTAGCTCTGTCACTTGTTAGCAAGTCACTTAACTTCTTTGAGTCTGTTTCTGTAAAACAGGCATGAAAATCAGTCCAGTCTCATAGGGTTCTGATGAAGAGCTGAGGGGTACAAACGGAAGCCCTCACGCCAGTGCGTAGGGGACAATAGGTGTTACTGAATTGTTCCAGGACATTGTTCTTGACATTGTTCTTGACATTGTTCTTGACAGTGATTTTCTTAAATTCTTGCAACAGCCCCCTACAGTTTTCTTGTTCTACCCATTTATATGGAGGAAACTGAGACCCAAGTGCCAGATCTGGTAAGACCTGACTCACCTTGATTGCTGTGAACTGGACTCTCAGGGAAAACTACCTTTGGAAATTGCCCCCTCCTGGCCCCTTTGAGAGGCCTGAAGAACAGAGCAGAGAGATGTGCTCTGACCAGAGATCACACAGTCATGTGGATGAAGCCTCCACCTTTGCTCACCACAGCAAACACCAGTCCCCAACTTGGGCCGCTCTGCCTCTGTCACAGTCGGCAGGTGAGGGCTCCAGGCTGGCTGGTGGTCAGAGATATCCCACCCCTGAAGGCCCTTCTTTCCCCTCAAGAACCTGTTATAGGATCTGGGAGGTCCTGGCTCCCTGCCTACCCTGTCCCTACCCCACAGACATCAAAGAATAGAAAAGAATAGACATCAAACAACAAAGAAGGCAGCAGCATTGATCTTGGCCTTGTGGCAGCCTGTTCTGCTGCTGTGTGACACTGGGCAAGGCTCAGCCCCCTCTGAGCCCCAATCTCCCCATTTGTAAAGCCACATTCTTTCTAGTATGCATTTTGGCTCAAAAATCCAATGATCGTACGGGTGCTGTTTTTTATTGAGCATCTATTAAGTGCCAGGCAGGGAGCATTACAACTTTCACTTATCATTATGCCCTGTGAGGCTGGAAACTGTCTGGGCCTATTTCCTCATCTGTACAAGGTATAGTGCCTGCTGCATAGACTTGTTTCAGAGTTTGAGGGCTTGTTAAGAGCTTTCTACTGTGTCTACTACTTAGCAAATGCTTCTACGTTTTTGACAGAAGTGAGTGAATTCCTCTCATTATACCGAGGTTGGAAAGGAGGCTCAATGTTGAAGGAGCCAGGACCTTGTGAGGATTTCCTGCTTAAGCCTTGTTTTTCACCTCAGACCCCTCTAAGGGATGGGAGACTATCCCTTAGTGAGGAGGAGGAAGGTGATGAGCCCCCAGGGGAATCTGATCCTCAAGCCCAAGGTATGTGAGGCTGTAGGCGCTGAGGCCTTGAACATGTAGCCCCAGAAAGGACAGGACAGTCACACAGCCGGGGACAGGAGCAGGTTCCAGGTCAGAGAAATGGAGGCAAACGAGCTGAGAGAAAGAAGGAAAGGAAGCCAAGAAGCTCAGGAGAAAGCTGTGACCAGAGATTCAGGAGCTCCCATTTGGGCCTGGACAAGCTCGAGCAAGTCACATCCCTTCCTGAGCCTGTTTCTATGCCTATAAAATGGAGGGAGGGGGCCTTCCTGGTTGTCTAGGGGTTAAGTCTCAGTGCTATCACTGCTGCGCCTGAGTTCGATCCCTGTCCAGGGAGGTGACACACATGGCGTGGCAGACCTCTCCTGTCTTGCCCGCTGCTCCCCTCAGCGATGTAGTTCACTCAATCTGCCTGTTCTGCTCCCCACTCTGTCTCTGGTGAATCCTCTCAACCCCGCACCTCTGGCCTACACCCTAGTTCTACAAATAAATAAATCTTTAAAAAAAATAAATAAATAAAACGGAGGAAGGATTGTCTTGAGGGTCGAAGGAGCACACAGTCCTGCACACTCCAAGTGTGAGCTCTTGACACTGTTCTGCTAAGAACGGGCTGACCTGGTGAACTCCAGAGGCACGGGGAGAATCCAGGTGCTTCTGGTGGAAGCATCTGAGCTGGCTGAGTAAACCCTGGCCCCTGTACTCTGCAGTGCTATTCTGCCTGTATCCCATACCCAGAGAGGAGGCCCCCCCATGCTGATCGAAGCCTCAGAACCTGGCACAGCACCACCTGGCACAGGGGAGATGCCCAATAAAGTCTGTTGGATGATCACGTGATTTTTGCCTGGTACAAGATAACAGCCGGGGCTGAGCCATCTGTTCCAGGCAGGCGCTCCAGGCTCGCATCTGGGGACCCAGCTGCATTCCTTCCATCCCTGAGCTGTCCCACCCTGAGGCCCCTCCCCAGCTTCCCACTTACACCACGCCAGGCCTCGGGCAGGAGTCTGAGGTCCAGTAGAAATCCCTCACTACCCGAAGGGGCAGGGTGCGACGTATGTAGTCCCTGCAGCAAACGCTGTCCTCCACGTTAGCACCGTAGGGACCTGGGGGAGGAGGGGGTGCTCAGTGGATTCACAGGCTGGGGCACACAGAGTTCACCCTCGGTCCCAACCTCTGACCCAGTTTTCATGTGGAAGGTTGTGTCCAGACGGTTCTGTGTCCTTGGAGTCCCCACTCTCAGGGCTGCTGAGAAGCTGCTGAGGGCCCAACGCTCAACTCAAGGAGAGGGGTTCAGGTGGCTGAGCATCACCATCCTAGGCATCTAGGCCTGGAGATTCTGAACAGGAATGAGCTGTAGGACCTTAATACACAAGGTGAGGTCCAGGGACCAGCGGCATCAGCATTGAGTAGGGGCTTAGGCCAAATGAACCAAATGTTCATTTTGCTGAGACCCCCCGGGTTGGTCTCAATCAGAGAGGAGGGCCTGCCCAGGGCTACACAGAACAACTCTGGGTGTCCTGCGCTCAAGCAGAGTCGAGTCACACAGACCTGAGCTGGGGTCCGGCACTGCTCTGAGTCACTGGGCCACCATGAGCAGTAATTTAACATCTGAGACCCAATTTCCTCCTCTGAATGTGGGGACTTTCAGGCAGAGATTGCTCTCAGGAAGCCCAGTGAATGTGAGCAATTATTATTCAGAGCTGCCTGCCCCCTCCCATCCCCACTTCTCCGGTCCAGTGCTACCCCCAGGTCCAGAGCAAGGCGGAGGAGGTGACTTTGGAGTGGAGAAGGCAGGAACACGGGGTGTGCTTACCCCTGTTCCTGCCTCTTTCTGCCCCAGCTGGCCCTATACTTGACACCACACCCCAGCAGCCCTAAGCTTGCATTCCTGGGGATAGCAGCCCCCAGGCCATGCCTATCACAACCCCCACACTGGTTGAGACAGATCTTAGATGCCAAGCCTTCAAGACTACCCACTGAACAGATGTGGAAACTCACACCCAGAGAAGCAATATGACCGGCCCAGGGCCAGAGTAGACAGCGGTCTTCTGCTCTCAGTCTGGTGCTCTTTGCACACAAGACGCCCCAGAGTCTGACCCTGACCTTTGCAAGGAGCCTTCCTTCTCCCAGGTCTCACCTGCCTCAGTTGCTTGAAGTGCCATAGCCAGGAGGATGAGGGCAGCCAGGCTCAGGGGCCGCAGGTTGGCCATGCTGCTGTCCAGTGTGTGCCGGCTCAGGTGTCTACAACCTCCACAGAGCAAGAGGAGCTGGTATTTAAAGGCTGGTGACACTCATATCTTTCAGACTCTCTTAGTCACCGGTGAGTCCAGAACCACTGACATTCACATTGTGAAAGAAGAACTCCCACTTCCCCTAAGGGGGAGGAAATTCTCTGAGCCACCGAGAGGGGACCCCCACCCTGCCCTCTGCTCTGGGTCCCAAGAGAATGCAAAATCCCCCTTGAGCTGGGCCTCTAGGTGACCTGTGCTTTCCAGGGTCTGTTCATTGTGTGGCCCCGTTCAATGGATGTCTCTGGGACTCAGTTTCCCCATTTGGAAATGGGGGAGATATTTCACAGGCCAACCTATTCACCTCAGTGACTGTTTATAAATCAAGTGAGAATGTGGACAGGAGGGAACCTCAACCCCCACCTGGAACTGTGGCCCATCTTGTACCCTTGGAGATCTCCTCCACAGATCTCTCTTCAAAGGGTGAGGCCTATCAGTCCATTTGGTTGGTATCCCAGCCCCATCACCAGCCTCTGAGGGCTTCTCACAAAGTTCCAGCTTGGACCAGCTCATGGTCCTCTCAACAGGTGCAAAGAGCTTCCATCTTGCCTGCCTTTCCTTCCCGGCTGTCTCCAAACCCTTCCTCACCTGCCCTCAATCTATCATCATTCCCCAGTGAGTCTCCTTTGCTCCATCTCCACTGTCCTTGCTAGTCAGTGGCCTCTCTTTCAGGCTTGGATGCTGGTCCCTTAGTCCCTTCTCCACGTGGGCAGGGACCAGGGTGGCCCAGACTCAAAGTGGCCCCTGCTTCTCTCCTGCTGTGGTTGTGGCTCTTATTGACTTGAGGGAAGAGCCAAACTCTTGACTCTGGACTTCAAGGCCTCCTTTCCAGACATGTCCCATGACAGGGCTTCCTCCCCTGGGTCAACACCATGCTCCTCGCAGTTCCTCAAAGTGGTGTGTGCCCTCTCCCTTGCTGTGAGTGCCCTTTCCTCTTCTCTACCGCATAAACGCCTACTCATGTGTCAAGAGCCCTTTGAAATGTCATGGTCTACATAACACTGTCCCCCCCAGTGTTCTTCAGTGTTCTCTGGAGTGACCCAGAACGTGACCCTAACCAGACTACATCAGTTTTTCTCTTTCTCGGTCCCCTCCCTGAATTCTTAGCTCTTGGAAAACAGGGTTTCTCTTTATTTGCCTCCGCATTCCCGGTGTCTGCCAAGAGCGGGTTGTGTGGTGGGTGCTCAGAATACATCTAATATATGAGGAAACTGAGGTTTGGGGACTTGCTGAATGTCAAACAGCCGGTAAGTGACTGAGTTGGGACTGGGATTTAGGACTCAAGATTCCATTAGTAGAGGGACCCACCCATTCATTTTTTTAAAAAGATTTATTTATTTATGCAAACAAGAACTGGGGTACAGGCCAGAGGTGTGGAGGGTGAGAGGATTCACCAGAGACAGATGGGGAACAGAACAGGCAGACTGACTGAAATACACTGTTGAGGGGAGCAGCGGACAGTTAGGAGAGGTCTACTGTGCCATGTGGACAGCTCCCTGGCCGGGGATCAAACTCTTGCTGCAGAAGCTGGGGATAGCTTCATAGATTGTGTCTTAACCCCATGTGCCACCAGGGAGGCCCCCATCCATTCATTGATTCATTGATTCAACAAATATTTTTGACCCCCTTGGTTAGCAAGATAATATCCCCACAACCCCCTCCAAAATTTCACAATTCTTAATACCTTTGAATATATGGTAAAAAAAAAAAGTCAAGATGTGTTCAAGGCGAGGACCATGAAATGGGGAGGGGTTCTGGATTCTCTGAATGGGCCCCCTGTAATCACAGGGCCATGATAAGAGGGGAGCTATGGGTCAGACTCAGAATTGGAGATGGAAGGACAGAAGCAGAAACCCAAATACGTGGGCTGTGAACTCGGGAAAGCAGGCAGCCTCTTAAGATGGAAAGGACAAGAAAACAGATTCTCCCCTGGAGCTTCTAGAAGGAAGCTGCACCTAGATTTTAATTCACTGAGGGTGATTTAGGACTTTTGATTCCCTGAACTGTGAGATGTGAAATTTATTTTGTTTGCAGCCACTAAGCCTGTGGCTTTAAAAAAAAAAAAAAAAGATTTATTTATTCATATAAGAACTGGGGTACAGGCCAGAAGCGAGGGAGTGTGAGAGGATTCACCAGAGACAGAGTGGGGAACAGAACAGGCAGATCTACTGAAATACACTTATGAGGGGAGCAGCGGGCAAGACAGGAGAGGTCTGCTGTGCCATGTGGGTACCTCCCTGGCTGGCCAGGAATGAACCTACACTGCAGAGGTTGCGGATAGCTTCACAGCACTGCGCTCAACCCGCTGCACCACTGGGGAGGCACAAGCCTATGGCTTTTTGTTACAGCAGCAACAAGAAACTCATCCGAATCCCTGTCAGGTGCTGGGTGCATGTGGAGTTTACAATAAACTGGCAAACAAATATCAGTCAAAGGAATGTTGGGCTTTGGGGAATGCAGTGAAGAAAGTGAAAGAAAAGCAGATGGTGATTTTAGGGAAGCAGCTTGGGGGAGTCAGGAAGGGCCTCTTGAGGGAGGACATTCAGACTGAAATTGGGAAAATACTGAGGAACCTGCCAGAGAGGAAAGTGCAGGGTGAGTGGGTTGAGGTGCTGGGGCAGAGCAGGAGTGGCGCAGGAGGGTGGAAGAGGTGGTAGGGTGCAGGGTCGGGCAGGGTCTACACTCAGCTGCCATTCCTGGGGAAATCTGCAGCAGAAGTGTAAACATCACCCCCAAAGTCGTGTTATCAAAAAGCATGACCCAAAGTCCACCACAGGACACATCTGTAGTATTCCTCTTTTGTGAGGTTCCTAGAGCAGCCAGATTTATAGAGACAAAATGTGGGTACCAGGGGCTGGGCGGAGGAAAGAAGGGGTAGTTAATGTTTCATGGGGACAGAGTTTCAGTCAGGGATGATTGACAAGTTCTGGAGAGGGGTGGCAGCGATGGTGGCTAGCACTGTGAATGTATTTAATATCTATATTAAATATATAATGTACTAATGTAAATATATTTACATATTCTATTACTATATTAAAATAAATATATTTAATGCCAACAGACTGTACACTTACAAAGTGGTAATTTTTACATTATGTGTCTTTTACCAATTCAAAACAAAGCAAAAATGATCCCATCACATGTCATCAAGGGAATGTGATATAAACTGCTGCAGGGGGCCTTGCTGCCCCAGCCAGGTAAGACACTGGCAAGCAGCTAAGAAAAGGGCCTCACACCGTGGGACTGAAGATTTCTTGTGTCTCACACCGTGGGACACGGTGTGAAGATTAAACATCCCTTTGTTTTTTGTTCTTGGTCATAAAAAAAAAAATTTCATGGAATATACACTGGGCAATAAATTATACATATAAGAATATTATAGGGCCTCCCCGGTGGCGCAGCGGTTGAGCGCTGGGTTGCGAAGCTGCCCGCGGCCTCTGCGGCACCAGTTCGATCCCCGGCTGCTCCCCGGCCACCGGAGGAGGGTCCCACATGGCGCGCAGACCTCTCCTGCTGCCCGCTGCTCCCCTCAGCAGTGTACTTCGATCCTTCTGCCTGCTCTGCTCCCCGCTCTGGCTCTGGTGAATTCTCTCACCCTTCTGTGCTTCTGACTGTACCCAGTGCATGTATAAACAAAACAAACAAACAAACAAATAAATAAAACATGCCTCTATAAAAAAAAAAAAGAATATTGTAAGTACATGGCATGGAAAATTACTTGCTTAAAAATTGAACACTGAACAATTTGGCCCACTTGACAATGGGAAATAATTATTGTGCAAGGGCATGTCTGATTAGCAACCCAGAGCTGGTCATAATAATATTCCTCATATGGAATTTCCGTAGATAAGCCTTGTAATGAATCAGGAAGTTGATTACGCTAGGAGTTTCTAGGTAGAAAAAGTTCTAATAACTGATTACCGGAAAGCAACTGGTCTCCAGCTGCAAGCCATATAGATAGAGGAGTCTCCTGATATATTGTAGGAGCCTACAATATCAGGCGATAAGGCGGTCCCAAGGACTGTTAGCTGATCTAGGTAGTTGTTTAGACTGAAATAATGAGTCTAAATTTTAATTATCTATTAACTTTTAAGACCATTTCTTTTCTCAAAAACACATGGGTGCCAAAATGTCTATGGGAAAGGAATGTACTGATTGTTTTTGTTTTGCTTCTATGCATATGATGATATAATCCCATTGATTGCCTTAAGGTATAAAGACCCGCTGATACCCTCAGCAGGAGATGCTTTCACCAAAATAAGAGTGTCTGCGTCTGCCTCACCTTCCCTTCCTTTCAGCCCTTAAAAGTTTCGCCTAGATGAAACCCTACATGATATGCACATCAAAGACATCTTTACAGACACATCACCCAAAGCAGTGATGGTGAAGGCAAAGATAAACAGCTTGGACTACATCAAATTAAAGAGCTTCTGCACAGCAAAAGAGACAATAACAAAAACAAAGAGAAACCCCACCAACTGGGAGAACATTTTTGCACACAACACTAAAGATAAAGGACTGATCATAAAAATCTGCAAAGAGCTAATGAGACTCAAGAACAACAAAGAAAATAATCCAGTCAAAAAATGGGCAGAAGGGCCTCCCCGGTGGTGCAGCGGTTGAGCGCTGGGTTGCGAAGCTGCCCGCAGCCTCTGCGGCGCCGGTTCGATCCCCGGCTGCTCCCCGGCCACCGGAGGAGGGTCCCACATGGCGCGCAGACCTCTCCTGCCGCCCGCTGCTCCCCTCAGCAGTGTACTTCGGTCCTTCTGCCTGCTCTGCTCCCCACTCTGGCTCTGGTGAATTCTCTCACCCTCCCGCGCTTCTGACTGTACCCAGTGCATGTATAAACAAAACAAACAAACAAACAAATAAATAAATAAAACATGCCTCTATAAATAAAAAAAAAATAAAAAATTTTTAGAAAAAAAAAAATGGGCAGAAGAGCTAAAAAGAAACTTCTCTGAAGAGGAAATGCAAATGG